AAATTAATAATTTTTTTTATATATATTTATATATTTTTCTTTTTTTTTTTTTAATTAATTGAATTCTTTATCTTTTTTCAGACCATAGCTTGTCCTCAACACCTTATAAAAGATAAAGATAAGGAACTAACTACACTTTCTGTGTACCGTCGCGTCTTCGTCCCACGTGATGAAAATCGTCAAGTTGCTGCGGTGATGCATCATTCCGATAACAAACATCTACTTCGCGTGGGCTCCCTTATCTTTCTTAGCGTCGGCCAATTGCTTCCTCATCAATTGCAAAATTTTCACACGCCTAATTACATTTATCCAGTAGGCTACAAAATCGTGCGTTTCTATTGGAGTATGCGCAGACCCAACAAACGTTGCCGCTATGTTTGTTCGATTCACGATGTTTCCGGTCGTCCAGAATTTCGTGTCTTAGTTCAAGAACCTCTTCAAGAGGATGTTGAACTGAGAGATGCTACTCCGCGAGCTGTTTGGAGTCGAATTTTGGAACCACTTGCCGAATTGAGAAGAAGTACAAACTCCGTTCAATTATTCCCGAGATACGTTTCAGGAGAAGATCTATTTGGCTTGACAGAGCCAGCAGTAGTACGAGTATTGGAAAGTTTGCCTGGAATTGAAACTTTAACTGATTATAGGTAAAAAATTGATGCTATTTTAGGATTAATTTAAATAAATAGTATTGATAACTTTTTCCATGTGATAAAATATTACTTTTGCTACCAATTTTTGAAAAACGTTGAATACATTCTTGGAAAGCGACAATAAAATGATTTTTTTATTTTTAGATTTAAATACGGCCGTAACCCTCTGCTAGAATTGCCCTTGGCCATCAATCCAACTGGGAGCGCGCGGACGGAGGCACGTTTACGAAATCAGTTACCATGGAAGCGACCACATACGCAACGTACAGGAGGTTTTGCTTCACGTGGGGTACCATTTGGTCTGCCAACCTGTGGTGCCGCAGCAACAATGGGCGGAGGAGTTTCAACATTAGTTGCAGCAGTCGCTGCCGCGGGTGAGGCCGCTTCCTGTCCATATTCAAAGCAATTCGTACATTCTAAGAGTTCGCAGTACAAGAAGATGAAGCAGGAATGGCGTAATAATGTCTATTTGGCAAGATCAAAGATTCAGGGTTTGGGATTGTATGCGGCAAGAGATCTGGAGAAGCACACAATGGTGATCGAATATATTGGAGAAATCATTCGAACAGAATTAGCAGAAACAAGAGAGAAACAATATGAAGCTAGAGTGAGTATAGAGGAACTTCTTCGAGATTACTCGAGATACTCTAAATTAATTTGATTTCATAAAAAAATTTTAATTATTATCACACATCTTTTTATCTATGATATATTTTAATATTATTTATTTATTACGTGCAGAATCGGGGTATATATATGTTCCGATTGGACGAAGAACGAGTGGTGGATGCAACTTTATGTGGGGGTCTTGCCCGCTACATCAACCATTCCTGCAATCCCAACTGTGTCGCTGAGATTGTCGAAGTCGAACGCGATCTCAGAATTATAATCTTTGCTAAGCGTCGAATCTCACGAGGCGAAGAGGTAATTACGTAGTTTTTTAACAAACTTGGAATATTTTTTTTATTTTTATTTTTATTTTTATTTTAATATTATTTTCTTGTTTTTAATGTATTTATTTTTATTAAATTACTTTTTTTTCATATCTCAAGTATATTTCTTGTTATGTATTTTTTACACACACACACACACACACACACACACACACACACACACACACACACACATACATATATATATATTATTTATTTATTTATTT